GGTGTAGGTCCCAGAATTTGCATTCGGGGGAATGGCAGGCGAACGGTGGCATCTAAATATTTTAGGTTTTAACTCGTAGCTAAAAATGGCAGGCGTTTTAAGCGAAAAGTAGTCAGCTGGAAAATTAAGAGGGAAATCTCCCTAAACTGGCTATACTTTTATTCGAGATTTTTTAATAAACGTTGGTACGTTTTGTGGTGTAGGTCGTGCATCAATAAAACTATGTTTTCTGAGGGTTTTGGTTCCTAAGGTACCGCAGTTCATAAGGCTCCCCGAGGATGTAGCTGGAGAGCAGGTGTGGCCTTCTGTCTTCCTGCGTTGTATAAACTGTGTAACTTTCAATTTCCTTGTACAGGTTCTCAGAAATCTTATTGCTGAAGAAGCAGAGTAGCACCTACTTCTGTGTCTGTGGGAATTCTCCGTAAGATTAAACTCTGATTTCAAGGCTTGGTGCCTTGCAAGGAGGAAGACCCGGTGGTGGTTCTCCCTGCCAAGTCTCCCAGCTCTGCAGTTTAGGAGAGTTGTTTTTCACTGCTGCTTTTCAGAGCCTAAAATACACTCCACGTTTTCATGCTTCGGAGACCTGCGTGGCTGTGATTTTTGAGAGAATTGGAGCAGTTGAGATCTTTGTGTGAGTAAAGATACCTGGTCTACTTTTTGCAAAGATCTCCTTTATGGTCTGTGTGAGTCAGTATTGGAGATGAAGCTGCTAGCTGCAGGGCGTTGAGGCAGGAGTTCTGGGCAACAGTATGGAAAAAGTATGCAAAAAGCTGCTGCTGAGGCAAGAAAACGGTCATATTTCTAAAAATGAGCAGGAGTTGTTTATGTAGATATTTGTAAGCAACGAGCTTGAAGGATCCGATCCTTAAATATAGAATTCATTACAGAAAGAGGGGTTTTTTTAAAAAAAAATGTATTGCAATTATTTTTTGGGGTAATAGTTCTGGTACTGTTTTAGTTGTGGTGTTCTCTTGTGTAGAAAGAGGCTGCAGTCCCTGTTAGCACAACTTACCTGCTCAGTGTTCAGCCTTAGGTTCTCGAGGTGCCTGTTGGATGAGAAAAGGGACTTTGGACCCAGGACCAGCTTGTGTAGCGTCACATTTCCTTCAAAGGCTGCAACTCCATGTCCCACCTTCCCTCTCTTTCCTCAGAGCTATTTGTGGGGTGGTGCTTTTAACCAGGCTGGGAATGGCTGTTTGTTGGTCGGTTGGATTTTGTTTGTTTTTCTTACTGCTTCAAAAATAAGGTAGGAGTGGAGAGTTTACAGGGTTTGCATTTCAAAATTTGTCTGTGCAGATAAAAGAGGTGATGTGGCGTAGGAGCTGGTGTCCCCAGACAATAACTTCTTAAACTGGCGTGTTATTGAAGGCTTTATGTCACAGAGGTATGGGGCTCTGCTTAAGATCATTGAACGTAGAGGAAAAGTGATCAGTGGTGAAAGCATAGCCTTGAGTTGGAGAGTTTAGTGGTTTCATCTTTATGTAAATCATGACCTTTGACGGGGATAATTTTTTTCAGGTCTGTTTGTTCTATTATTAGTTAGTAGTAATAATAATATAAAACAAGTGTGCTTTTACACGATATTTGACTGATGTGTACTACATAATTTAAAGTAATAAAGCATCTTCCTTGTTTTAATGATTTGTTAAACTCAGTCGAAGACTTCCAGAAAATGAATAGCAATAAAAGCACAGAGAAAGTAATTTTTCTGTAATTTTTTTGACACATTTTCTGTAGAAAATACAAAATTGCTCATGTAACAGAGAGTAACAATTTTCTATACTGTGCTTGTCAGTATGGTATCATGGTATTAACTGAGCAAGCTCAAACTTGAGCTTTTTTCGTTACTTAAGAAATGGAGTAAAAAGATTGATTTGATCTTAGATGCCTATTATGTAAGGAAGAAGCAAACATGAGAATGAGGATTGAGCTTAATTGCTAATTTCATTATTGGAACTGTCAGCCAAACAGCAGCTTTGATAGAACTGTAGCTTTCTTGTACTTTTTATTATAAAAATACTGACTTTCCTCACTAGTGTTTAGTGGAGCAGTTAGACACTAGAGTTGATCTGGTCTGGGGATCCTTGGCAAGTAAAAGTGCAGTCCTGCCTCCCTCTCCACCATGTTGTCTTTTCTCCCATCCTTGGGTTTCTGCTCTGTTGGATCTCGTGCTCATCTTCAAAGCTTCCTTCATAGGCTGATTCAACTTGTTAAGTCAAAAACTCTTCCCTTTTGTTTTTTTTCTGTGATGTTTTTCAGCTGATTTTGCAGCTCTGGTCAGTTCAGCTGGAGGGGGGCACAGAACTGCAGGGAAGGTAGTGGGAATATATAGCCAGGATCAGGAGCGGGGGTTAGTAGATGAGGGAAGAGCTGCTGCATCTATTACGCTACAGTCAGGTGCCCATACATTTCGGTTATTTCTGATTGTGCCTAAGTAGTGGAAAGATTTCTTTAATTTACTTTTTTTTTTGTCTTTGGGAAATTTCATGCTCTTCATTTTTCGGTACTAACAGGAATATTTTAGCGTAACAGAAAACGGAGAAGGCTTTTGAATGTGGCTTCTCAAGAAACCCAGCAATCCTTTCAAATCATTAAGTCAGTTTAGAAAACATTTTTGTGTTGTGTTAACTTTGGGATAGCTTGCTTTGCTTGTTTTTTAGGTTGTCTGATATTTGTGTCAAAATAATTCTTCCACTGAGAAAACTTTTGTAACCAAGAACCATGACAGCTGCAGAGAATGTGTGTTACACGTTAATCAATGTTCCGATGGATTCAGAACCACCTTCTGAAATCAGCTTAAAAAATGACCTAGGCAAGTAATGGACAATGATTTGAAGGATACTCCATCTTACCTGAATTATTCTCATATTCTCTTATTGTGCCTTTCCTAGAATGTTGTTTACATTTTATAAACTCAGTCAAGTCAATTTGATGTTTATTTTGTTCTGCTGATTTTTAAAATGTGTGCATTCCTCTGCTGTGTTTTGAGAAACTTCATGATATTTATCTTATGTGTTTTGGTTTCCTCCCCTCCCAGTCTGTGCTAAAATTTGAAATCTTTTTCTGTCTTTCTGTTTGAAGTAATATCTGTTTGGGCTCAGGCAGATTTAAGTGATGCAGTGATAAGCAACAAGTTGTCTTATCACTTGTTCAGTGCACTGCTGTATCTTGCTTGCAGAAATGGCAGTGTTAGTAATTAATATACGTATGACATCAGAGTGCATTGTAGTATCCTGGTGTAAAAGGCTGTTTAAATTTAAGCATTTGAAACAGTCATGATATTTGTTGAACTCAGTTAATTACAATACGTTGATCCTAGAATTAAGTCTGAACTCTGTGCTTATTCTTTCAATATCTCTTACTTCTTCTTTATCCTTTTAGTAGAAGTAAGGGTGTGAATTTTATCGGTATGCTCTGTTGCACTCCTTCAGAGGGGGTTTGTATCTTCTGGCACTGAAGATCAGTACTCCTGTTAAACTAACTGTGACATGTTAGCCTTCCTGATTTCATTTCCTCCTCCTCCTCTAGAAAAAGGAGATGTCAAGTTGAAGACAGAGGCCTTGAAGAAAGTGATCATTATGATTCTGAAT